ATAGCGTTTATATCTTTTACACGTAATTTATCTATTCATTGGTTAATCGTTAAAAAATTCTCAACAATGGGCAGCATTCTTGCTAGATAAAAGACTGGAATAAACCTGAAAATAGAACATTATATACCTTCTCAATTTTTTAAAATTTCTGAATGGCACTTTTGATGTTGAAACAAATGTTTGTAAGCAAATTTTTATATTATTTACATTATTTACGTTATAAATTACAGAAGGTTGCGTAAAAATTCGAGAAGTAAGGGCACACGATCGGAATTAAAATTGCCTAGGATGCCATGTCGAAAATGTCATGGCACGCGGATAGGGGCGTTTGGCTATTAGGATCTGTTTAGAAGGACACGAAGAAACAGTTCATAATAGGGGAAGCGCCCCTAGCTGCGTATGACGACATTTCCGAACACGGGTCCTATGCAATGTTAATCCCGGTGATGTGCTCTAAGTCTCCTAGAAGTTTGTCGCGACTTTTATGCAGCCCCCTGTTACGAATACCGTTTTTAAACACTTCAATAAAAAAAATAGGCTAAAAATGACATTAAAAAAAACAGTAGCTTCCAGGAAAAAATTTATTGCCATTTTAGAAATAAGCTATGTAAAAATGTCTAAGATCCGTTAAAAAATCTCAAGCAGAAGGAAAAAAAATTTTCCTAATAAATTTTAATTAATTTTTTAATGATGTAATTTTAATCAAAAAGTTTCCTTTTTTATCTTTTACTAAAAGATAATAAGTTTTCTAACTTTCTTCAGAAACTAAAAATTTTCCTGTATTTTCCCTGCTATCCAGATGAAGACAAATTGTAATCATGTTCCATTAAGTATGTTATAGATGCATGTTAAAATAAAAGACTGATATTTTTAACATATGTTATAGCAAAAACACTCACAAATTTTATTGAATTAAATAATTATCTGCTATTGAATACATAAAACACACTAAAAAAAACTGAAAAACTTTTGCTTAAAAATAATTTAAAGGGGAAAACAACGAAAATATGACAGCCAATTATTTCCAAAAAAAACTTTTCCTTTCACTTTAACTATTAAGTGACATAAATTAAGTTAACTACATTAAATTATTCTTATTCAAAAAATAAAGAAATAAGCGTTTAATTTTTTTTTATTTTAAAAAATCTTCCAAAATTTATCTTTCTAATTAAAATATTTGAAATATGCATATATCGAGGAAGATAGATAAATAGAATATAAGATAACTAAGTTTTTCAAAGAAATGCTATAACTATATGATTCAACTAACACAAGAACAACTTTACGGTTGAATAATGATTTGATAAGAGGTGAGAAGAAACTACTAAAATGCAAATCATGCATGCAATAAAAAGACGTGATATCTATAGTATCAATCATTTAGGCGAGAAGATAGCCCAAAGAACAAAGCACACAAGTGTTTCCATTAAGATTGGTGAAAACAGTGTCTGTTAATAATCCTTGGTGGCAAAATGATCAAAGGTTAGGTATACAAAGGTTAGGTTAGGTTAGGTATTTGATCAAAGGTTACTGTCACCCAGCTAACCATAGGAGGTTTAATATTTAATGTAATGCCCATACAAGATACACAATTGAAAATGATAGAATTTCAAGGAAAAAAAAATCTTAAAATATGACAATCAGCATATTATATAGCAGGAGTGGCCAAGCTCCTTGATAGTCGAGCCATTTTTCAAAATTTGAAATTTTCCGCGAACCGCAATTAAATACGTATTTAAAAGTTATGCAAAAAAGGCATTAAAATTTTTTTTCTTACAGAAATTATATTTATTGAAAACATATAAATAAAAGTACAAAATATGTGTATTGAATTTAAATGTAAAAAATTAAACACATTTATTTTACTTCTCTTGGTAATTCTTTAAAATTTGATGAATAATTGGTGACAGTACTTCTCAGTAATTCTTTGAGATGCTGGTTAGTTAATACTGATCGGTGTTTGGATTTCACGAATTTTAAAGTGGAATAAAATTATTCACATAAATACGTTGTTCCGAATATTGAAATAATTCGACAAGCAGCCTTTTATAATACAGAATACTTCGATTCTGGTACAAATTTCCAAAATTCAGTAATCGACGTCGACTTATATTTTAATTGTAGAGCTTCATCGTTTTGCATCTCTATTAATTCTAGTTCTTCAGATGCTTTTTGGGTCATAATTATATTGGAAATGGAAAACTCACCTTGAATTATGTTAATTTCAAATGGATTCAGAAAAATATTAAAATATAATAGCACAAAAATGAAAAGGGAACTTGGATACATTTATCGAGAGCCACAAATAATCCTTCAAAGAGCCGCAGGTTGGTCACCCCTGTCATATAGAGAACCTTATGGCTTCCATATTAACTTAACACTAAAACCATATGAAAAGATTTATGAAGTAGTGGAATTACAAAAGCTGAATAATAGAAACTATGAAGTAAGTCTACCAATAATTTCACTCACTGCACATAAAAGAAATCAAAACACTTCATTTCATAACTCTTTGAATGAATATTAGAAATTAGCTAACAATGTTGGGGTTACTTAAAGAGTCACAACAAATTTAATTTCCCACCCCAATACTATTTTTAAAAATATTTAACATTTAAACATCATTTTAGATCATATTTGTTAACAACCAACAAATAGGGGTTTAATTATTATTCTTATAAAACCTACTAGAATCAGCTACAAAAACTGTTCCACAATCATCACATGACACTAAGTCCATATAACGGAAAAAAATGACTAATTTTTCTTAGAATAGCAAAAAAATAAAAAATTAAAAATATATTTTCCGTGAAAATTTTTTAAAAAGAAATCTACACTTTAACATGAAAAACCTTCATCATTTTTAATTACATCAATTGACACTCAACAAGTGGTGATTTAATTAAAAACTTAATGTAATCGGAGCTTATTTCATAACCTTCATATGACACTAAAGCCAAAATAGCAAAATTAATTTGCTGATTTTACTTTTTTAATGAATAAAATGAAAATAAAAAAAAATTAATTTACATGAAAACTATTTTTAAAAAAAATCATAACTAATATAACCTCATCATTTTTGATCAAATAAATTGAGAAAAAAATCAACTATGTACTTAAACAAATAACTACTTAATTAATACTCTTATAAAGCTCACTGTAATATGAGTCTGTTCTACAACCAATGATACCAGAGTCGAATATAGCCTAACTAATCATTTTACTTGAAATCACAAAAATTAAATTATTTTTTATGAAAGCTCATTATAAAAAAATCAATCCTTTATTATAAAAGCTTCCATCATTTCCGATCATATCAATTGAGAATAATCAACAAGTAGTTATTATAATAAATCAACAAGTAGTTTATTAAACTTAATATAATTTGAGTCTGTTCCCCAAAATATGATATCAAAGCAGAATAGTAGGATAAAATTACTGATTTAAGAATCACATTAAAAAAATAAATAAAAAAATAAATAAATAAAATTTTTACAAATTTATTTTTAAAAAATCAATTAAACAAAAAGCCCTCATCAATTCCAATAATATCAATTGCTAATAATGAACTATTTAAAAAAAAAAAAGAAATCGAAAATGAAAGCTACCATCATTTCAATTGATAATAATCAACAAGTAGTTTATTAAACTTCAGATAATCTGAGTCTTTTCCCCAAAATATGATACTAAAGCTGAATAGAAAGATAAAATTACTGATTTAAATAAGAATCACAAAAAAAAATTTATCTCTTACAAATTCATATTTAAAAAATTAATTAAGCAAAAAGCCCTCATCATTTCCAATGATATCAATTGCTAATAATCAACAAGTAGTTACTATAATAATTAACAAATAGTAATTATATTAATCAACAAGTAGTTTATTAAACTTAATGTAATCTGAGTCTGTTCCCTAAAATATGATACTACAGCTGAATAGCAGGATAAAATTACCGATTTAACTTAAAATCACAATAAAAACATTTTATTTCTTACAAATTAATATTTTTTTAAAAATTAAACAAAAAGCTCTCATCCATGAGAGCATCCATGAGAGAGATCCACTAATATCAATAGCTAATAATAAACTATTTTTTAAAAATCAAACCTTTAATGTGAAAGCTACCATCATTTTCGATCATTTCAACTGATAATAATCAACAAGTAGTTTATTAAACATTATGTAATCCGAGTCTGTTTCCCAAAATATGATACTAAGCATGAATAGTAGGATAAAATTACTGATTTCACTAAGAATTACTTAAAAAAAAATTTCTTACAAATTCATTTTTAAAAAATAAACTAAGCAAAATGCCCTCATCATTTCCAATAATATCAATTGCTAATAATAAACTATTAAAAAAAAAAGAAAGAAAGAAATCGAAAACGAAAGCTACCATCATTTTCGATCATTTCAATTGATAATAATCAACAAGTAGTTTATTAACTTTACATATAATCTGAGTCTGTTCCCCAAAATATAATACTTAAGTTGAATAAAATAAAATTACCGACTTAAATAAGAATCACAAAAAGAAAACTATTTCTCACAAATCCATTTTTAAAAAAATCAGCTATGCATAAAGCCGATCATATCAATTGATAATAAAAAATTAATTTAAAAAAAAATCAACCCTTAATATGAAAGCACATATAAATTTCGATCATATGAAATGATAATAATCAACAAGTAGTTATTATAATAAATAACAAGTAATTTATCAAACTTCATGTAATCTGAATCGGTTCCACAAAGTATGACACAAAAGCTGAATAGCAGGATAAAATTACTAATTTAACTAAGAATCACAATAATGAAAAATAAAAACATTTCCCCAAATCCATTTAAAAAAATCAACTAATTATTAAGCCATATCTTTTCCGGTCATATCAACTGTTTATAACCAACAAGTAGCGAGTTAATTTCTTTTTATTCAAAAGATTATTAGTAATGGTCATTGACCATTGAACAGTGTTTTAATTATTCTTACAAAACTTACTATAATCTGAATCTGAGTCAGTTCCACAACCATCAGATGATACTAAAGCTGAATAACGGGAAGATTCTGAACCACTGTCAGAATCACTTTCTTCAATAACTGCCGACCAAATTGCCGGCGGGAGATGATACATCAAGGGTGAAATATGCTTCATTTTTTGTCTCTGGGTCCGGTGAGAGACGGATGTTGCACCTGACATCGTGAAAAATTTTCAAAAAACACACTAGCTTCATTCACAGTAAATCCAAAGAAACGAGTAATCCAAAATAAAGCACACAAATACAATTTTTAATAAAAAATATTCCACAGGAAAATAAAATTATGTCCCACAGCTGCAGGTTGGAATGTTATCCATCTGTTTTCAGCATGTCCTACGAACTGTCGGTCAAGTTAAAGTTTTTTTACCCCGACGCACCAACCCAAACAACACTGAACAGCTACTGAACTGTAATGTTATTGCATGCCGTCGTTGTCCTGAAGCGAACAGGGTTGCTACTGGGAGAAAAAGTAGGATTGAGTTTTAGCTCGCCAAGCAGGCTACTGAAACGAATACAACCAAACTTATTGTATGATTTTCTCTCTTTGCAGACTAGTCGGAATTGGAAATAAAGAGGAAGTCGAAACCTCTAGTGATGTAGGAATAAAAAAGAATGCTAAAAGAATGACTCATAACCACTTCAAATAGGATAATGTTTTTAAGTTCTCCTGAAAAACACAACAATAAACAGAGCACGTTTTGAAGACTGAATTAATGCGACGCGGGAAAGGGGGAATTAATGCACTTGGCATTGAAATACATTGACAAACTTGGAAAGAAATACCCCCCCCCCCCATTCACCTGTTGTTCGTATAATATAAAGTTTACAATATTAATATTGATTGATAAAAGGTTTATTAATTTTTTAGAACTACAAGTAATTTATTCATTAAAACAATCAACGAGGAATATGTAATATAAATACAAATTCAGTAATTGTAATAATATTCTACATGTTCTCATTTATTCAGGGGTAATTGTGAGCCCAACTCAAAAATCCTGAAAATTTCTCCAATAAAATCATTAATTACGTATTGCAAAAAATTAATGTCTTCATAAATTTAAATTATTGATATTTTCAAAACATGAAATTCTAAATAAATTACATGCAGCAGAATTTAAATGAATAATTATGCATAAGTTTACTTTTATCTCTAATCACATTTATTATTCTCCTCAAAAAAAATTTTCAAATGAAAGAGATGCCAAGTATAAATTCGAGTTCTAATATTTCTAAATAAAACATAATTTTTTTAATACATAAATGTGATCAATAATTTCTTGAAACTTTTGGACCTCAGATTTCCGGAAACTTCCGGAGCGCGTTTAATGAAAAATCCGGATTTTTTCCGGAGCGCAATCATCTCTGTTTATATTTAATAAAAGAAATTCGCAAGTAACATTCAAAGGAAAAAATTTGCCAACCAAAAAAATGCTCGAAGTTTCATCTGAATTTATTTAAAAATTTAGCAGAGAGTACAATACTGATATACATATGTTACGATATACGAAACTTTCTTTTAAAATTAATTTAAAAGAAATTACGGCATAGTAAACAAATGCATTTAAATTCATTTATTAAAATATTATTCAAAAACTAAAAGCGCAATAAGAAAAAAAAACTACATGCAACACAACCTACATAGTGGCTACATAGTTAACAAGCTACAAAAACTTAAAATGTATATTATAAAAATAAAAAAAAAGTGATCTAAGAAAACGTTTTCAGAAATAGCTATTTAAAGTTTACTAATGCTCATTCTGGTTAACAGCATGTCTATGCAAAATGCGCTTTATGGTAATTATATTACTGAGTTCCAGCAACCAATAATAAAATTAGAAATTATTTATTTTATTCCATAACTCAATGTTTTTGGGCATAAAAAAATAATTTAAATTTCTTTAAAACAAAACTTTTTTTAAAAAAATTACAAACATTTAAAATATTAATGACTATTATTAAATAAGCTAAAGCGATAAACAATAAAACCATTAGATTAGTTTTGTTTGAAAAGATAAAATGCGTTCAACAATGTTAAGTAATCATATTTTTTATCAATTATCTAAGGATTAAGATAGTATACCCTCATCCAATTTTTTACAAAGCAAAAGTATAGTGTTTTATTCAAAACGGCAGAATAACAAGAAAAAAGAAACATTCACATTTTGTTTTAATTTTATTTATTACTTTCAATAAGGAACGCGGATTTTGAAGTTTTATTGTAGTGTGCAACAATAAATATGAAACTTAGTTCTTATTAACTATTTTTTTACTGTTGAAAGTTTTGCTATCTTGTTGGCTGCTTGTTCATCGAATAATCTCCGATATTAAAATAAATAAATAAAAACATTTCTTTAAAGAACGAAAAATCATGCTTTCATAAATGCAACGAAATTTTAAAAAACTCATTGTAAAAATGCATAACATTTAAACGAAAATAACATAAACCTCAGATAATATAATTTGATAAATGCGCAAAAGAAAAGAAGAAAAGATTTTTTTTTCACACAGAAGAAATAAATCTTGAATATAAAAATCGGATTATTTCTTTCAAATTTTCAAACTAAGGAACTTGCAAAAGGAAACTCTCACTAAATGCCTTTAAACACGTCTAACATTCGTTGATTGTATCATTAAAAAGATATTCAATAAAATACGAATGAAATCTTTTCCTTGACCAAAAAAAACGAATAATATTAATTCAATAAAGGCACGAAAGATTAAATAGATAGTTTCATTAAAAGACGTTACAAATCATTCGCTCTGTATAAGTAATTTAAGATGAAAAAAATAACTATCAGAAAGAAATTTATTTTTATTTTCTTATTCTAATCGCCTCCGCAATAAACAAAGAAAGAAATTGTGAAAAAGAGCTTTACTTATTTAATCACACTGAGATAAATAATTAATGATTAAAAATGATTAATATGACATTATTGAGTCATAATTACGATTAATTATTACAAGCGTTAAGGAAAAGTTATTACACAGGGATGAGATTAGCCAAAACGCAAAAAAGCTGAATTTCCACGAGAGTAAATTTTACGCAAGCGCAACCCTTTAATAACAAATTCCAGACAGTTTAAGGTAATAAATGATGTGTTGACATACAATTGTGTACTAATCTATGATTATAAAAACGATTACATTGATACTTAACATTTAGTGAAAAAAAATTACCAATTGAAAAAATAAAGCTAGAAATTATATTTTTCCTCAGTTCACATAAGAGACAATTATTACTTGAAAAACTACCTGGTTTAACAAATTAAAATTACTGAGAATATACATTAATATTTCCTTTCTTTTAATAAATACTGTTATGGGATTTATAGCAAATATATCAGTAATATTACTTTTTAAATAATATTGGAAAAAAAAACTTTAACAATGGACCGAATCATTATGTTCATATTATAGTCTAATCTAACTACAGCCCTCTGAAACATATCAATAACAGTGAAGTAGAAATATATAGTAACTCCTTAACATACAAAAATTGCTATTTTAGTTTGAAAAATTACATGACAATCAGCAACTGTTTAGATAATTGTTTTTTATTTGATAAGAATTTTGCATTTTATAGCATAAATAACAGCAATTATAAATAAAATTTTGATGATGAGTTAATTAACTCTTTTTCCCCAAAAATTTTTTTTTAATTAAATCCCTTTTTAAGTGATTGCTTTTGTTTGCTATATCTTTTATGTTTGCTATATTTAGTCGTTAGTCCATCTTCAAACATCTTGTGACAAATCCTATTTTTTCTTCTTTGCAAGCACAGAATGTAAGTTTTGAATATATTCCCTTCCAGTTTCTCTGATGTTGTAACACTTACATATACTAATAATCGTCGTTAGAAAAACAGTCACCTTTATAGTAACTAATTTTAAAAAAAATTTACTTCTTACAAGAATCGCGATAGTTGATCTTAAAATTGCGTGAATATGAATAACAATTATGGATTTTGAAATCACATGAATATGAAACTAGATATACGATTTTGAAAATGAGAAAATACAAACTGGGATATAGAATTTTTAAAACGCGTAAATACAAATCACGATTCATAATTTTTAGATCGCGTAAATACGAATCATGATGCGTAATTTTTAGATTGCATAAATAAGAATTATGATGCATAATTTTTAGAATGCGTGAATGCGAATCCCAATGCCTTATTTTAAAATCACGTATAAATACGAAAATCAATGTTTGATATTATAAACCGCATGAGCAAATCAAGACATTGAATTTTAAACTTGCGTGAATACGAATCGCTACATAGGTTTTTAAAAAGGCGTAAATACGAATCACAATATCGGATTTTTAAATCTCGTAAATAAGAATCGCAACGTACAATATTCAAATCGCGTGAATAAGAATCGCAACACGCAAATATGAAAAGCTATGTTTGATATTAAAATCGTGTGAATAAGAATCGAGATATTAGCAGATTCCAGGCTTGGGACCTCTAAAAGGCTTGTCAGAAGCAGCGTCGTTTGAACTACGAAAATCGGATCTATCTGGAGGGCGGGTAAAAAATTCGGAAAATCTTATCTGCTGCGTGTAAAAGGGGAGAAAATAGCTAAAATAAGTAAAAATGAGAAAGGATTGGTAGCTATGTAGTTTGAATTTTCTGTTTCTCTTTGAAAATCGGTGAATTTTCTGAAAAAGCAGAATACTTATTTAAAAAAATGAAATTTTTAGAAAATCTGAATTTTTGATAAAAAAGCTGAAATTTAAGAGATAAAAGTGAAAAAAGCGGAAAAATCTCATCCCTGATTACAACATTTTTTTATCTTAATATATACATAAATTTTTATTTATATTTATATACATTTTATAAAAATAGTCGGACCCTGCTATAGTGAACCATCTGTGAAAACAGCACTATAAATGAGGAGGATTCACTAAATAAAAAATATTTGAAATAATGTTCAGTAGAACTATTGGAAATAGTGATTGCAATAGTACACATTTTGCTTTATAAAATTATCAACTAATGTACAGTCTCTCTGCAACGAAGTTCCCTTATAGCGAATTTATTCCTGTAATGAAATTTTTAGTCGGAACGGTAAATAACGTTCAAAGTATCTCAATATAACGAACTGGCCGTCTCCCAGTAACGAATTTTTCAGAAGTTTATCGTTTCAATTTTCAACCTTTTTGGATTTTTCCAGATGTTTATGAATTCCGTCATTTTTGAAAAAAGTTGCAATTAAAAGTTGGAAACTGAACAATCAATTCGCTCTCCCATTTGCCTGTTTTCGTAAACATGCGCATTATTTATTTATTGCAGCTTAATTGCACGTTTTAAACACTTTTTTAATACTGTGTATTACATCATTAAATAAAAGTCATAATTATCATATAGACTAAACATTTTGCATCATTTATATTTAAACAACTGCAAAAAAGAAATGTGATTCCAATTTCCCAGCTGTTAACTATAAGCTTCAGAAACAAAATTAATTTAATAGCAGTTCAGAAGACACCACTAAATGCGTTCATTACAACCGAGTGTTCATTATAACAGGGTTCATTATAACAGGGTTAGATTGTATTTATTTTATACTTATATTACACTCTGATTATTCCTTTTATTTTAATGAAAAAGCAAAATCTTATGTAAATTAAATTTCAAAATATGAATAGCTTCTAGAACGTAGTTAAAGAATATATATAAAGAAAAATCTATTAAATTAGCCAAAATAGAATATTATTATTATCAGAAAATGTTTCTTAAAAGAGGATCAAGTTTCATGCAAATAATTATAAATGTTCTAGAATTCACATA